ACACAATTTCACCGTTGCGCGCCGCTGAAAACCCACCAGACGCTCGTGTCCAGGTTCGAACGGAACTTTCCACCCCGAATGGCGTACCGTGAAACTCACTGAGCGTTCGTGTGATCTTACGATCGATCCCGAGCCGTCTAAAACAGACGAACGAAACGTCTCGGTACTTCCGTTCATTGACGAGAAGAGGAATTAAATGGAGCTTGATATCTCAATAAACGTTTCTCTTGTACGTAGAAGCACTTTGTTAACATTTTTATTTATGCGTTACCTGGACAATTAACAGATTAATAAAAAAACACTAAATAAATACTGTGTTTCGCATATCTTCGGAATAACGATGGTTATACTCGTTCGGAAGCGCAAGAACCCTTTCGCTTCTGTGAACACCGCGTACGAGAGATTTTAAAAGGTATCGGTTCCAGAGAAATCTCACAGTGAAATGACCGTCGGGATATTAACAGCGATTAACGGGAGTTCAGAACGATCGTTGGAATAATTGTTGTTAAAACAAGTATGCAGAATGATTTAAGAAAGACAAGATATACATGAGAGAAGCCTGGACGATCAAAAAATCGGACGAAGTCGATCAGTCGGTCGAGCGCAAAATTACAGGAACACTCATTACGTCGGATCGCCTGTTAAGTGTGATTAATGAGTTTCATCGCGAAGAAAACCTCTGACAGTATCCTTCCGTCTGCATCCCTCTCTTTCTCTCCCGTCGTCTCTCATCCCCCTTTCTCTCCCGCTCGTTCACTGTCCATTTTCCCGCAGTCATTCGGTCCCTCGCACACCCTATTATCAGTAATCGTAAAACCTAAATTGGCTCTCTAAATTTGACAAAAGTGGTACCCCTTGGCTCTCAGATCCCTCGCATCCCGGTGCAAATTCGAATTCAGGTTTTCCATTTTCTTCCGCGCTCCACTTCGTTCCCACAACCGACCCGTTGTACATTTCTCCTTCTCTTTCTACTCCCGCGCCCCCAATCCCTATGTTTCCTCGATTTGTGAATGTCCTCGAAAGTATTATATTCATTTTCATTTTTGTTAT